TATTGTATGATACGTACCACCTCCCGGGGGTTGTAACGTCACCAAATGTGCGCGTGGGCACACACACGCACGCAGCAGACAGGCGTGGCTGCGGCGTCCCTCGGTCCCAGCCCAATCAAGCGCATGTCACAATTCATCCCACTGGCGCTGTTCAGCGCATGCAGCAAACCACAATCAAGTCTCAATGTGTCCCCTTTGGCCGTCGCACTACCAAGAGACAACAGCTTCCGTCACAGCGCACGCACGCCGCCCAGTGCCCAGTAAATATCCCAAAAATCGCACAACCTGCCGGACCCCTGCATGCGCGCCGCACGTCTTGCAGTTCACACCCACAAGTTCACACCCACACCAAAGTTCATGCCGCGAGCTTGGGCCGTCGCGATTGCGCGACAACGGCGCGGCGCCGCCGCCATGTGTGTCATGTGTGTGCTGACAGTGAGACTGTCGTTGCTGGCGCCAATGGGCCCGCTGCCCTTGCGAGCACCGCGCTCGTGCCGCCTGGAAAGCCCGGGCTTGGCTAGGCCGCGCGGCGCGCCGGGGCTAGTTGGGCCCGGCAGCGGGGGGAGATTTATTGATTTGGCGCCTTTATTTGGGTCTGTGCTTGAGAAAACATGACAGGGAGCGGACGGGTGTGATAAATAAAACACCTGTGGTGCACACGAAGACTACCCAGGTGAGTAGTCCGCTATGGGGGGGGCAGGGCGCGGGCCATGCAGCGCCTCGCCGTGGCGCCAGTTGGCTGCGATGGGCGGGGGGCGCACGGCGCGCGGGAGAGGCACAAAGCCGGTGCAGTGCAGCGGGCAGTGCAGCCGGGTGTTGGGATCATTCGTTGCTGGTGCAGAGTGCAACGCCGTCAGTGGGTTGGAGGGTACAAGCGCTGAACGCGTTCCGCGGGGGAGGGGGGGTGTTGCCGGCGGTGACGTTGGTGACGTTGGTGGAGGGGAGAGTAAAGCCGAAACCCTGGTGGGGGCGTTATGAGAGGCCATAGGTGAGCCGCACCTGGGCCCTGGACAGGTAATAGGGTAAGATCATGCGCAGGGTGACAAGATATTTGAAAGATATTGTATCATGTGCGGAAAATAAGCAGGCATGTGAGTGGCCGGCAGCTTGGGGGACGCGCGGGAGGGCGAGAGCAGGGCGGCTTCACGCACAAGCGCGCGGCACGGCCGTGCACTGGAGCGCCCGCCGAGGCCGTTGCCGCACGCTTCACCGCGGCTCGAAACGGCTTCAGAAGCAGGCGCCGCACGGAGACGCACGCAGCTTCCTTTATCATGCGATTCGTGCGAATTTGCGCTTCAAACGAGCATGGACTCGTCATGCACCGCCCAACATCGACGACTCGGGCCCCGCGGATGCTGCAGGCGCCGCCGCCGCCGCCGCCGCCGCCGCGTTGCCCGCCAGCGCCCGCAGCCCGCCCTGCACGCACGGCATCGACGGCACCCACGGCGCACAAGCCAGCATGTACGCCGCAAACTGATCAGGGCGCGCGACGCTGCAGAAGACGACCAGCCACGCGGTCAGGAAGTTGCAGACCCCCTCCCGCAGGTTGGCGTCCAGCTCAGCAACAAAACCCGCCCGCCGCGCCGGCGCGCCGCGCGGGGATGCGGCGGCAGCGGCGGCGGCCTCGGCCATCAGGCGCGAGCGGTCGGCGTGAATAAGGGCCAGGCGCTCCTCCCACGCCTCTAGGGCTGCTAAGGCGAGCTCGATCTGGGGGCAAATATGTGAGGGGGGGTTGGAGGGCGGCGGCCGTGTCGGCCGTTCGTCAGGCATCGCATGGGACTGCCGGTATGCGATGAGGGCGGGTCTGAAGCAGAGGGGGTGGGAGGCGCCCCGACCCGGCGCCAGGGCGCCGCCGCTCGGGGCCGCGGGCGCGTGCGGCGCCTGCTGGCGGCGCGTGTGCCGGTTGGTTGCTGTGCATCATCCGGCGGTCAAGCAGCCCCATCCCTCCCACTGGCGGGCGCGCCTGGACGGGCTCGAACGCGAGCTGGGCCGCCGCCCACTGCCAGTGCGCGTCGCCCGGCGCCGGCGGCTCCATCCTGGCCGTGCCGAAGCCGCAGCCGGGGAGGGGCGCGAGCAGCAGCCTCGGCAGCGCGGCGCCGTCCTGCAGGGCCGTGAGCACCATCTGGGCCGCCACCTCGGAGCGCAGCGCCGCGAGCCGCTCGGCGGCCGCGGCCGCGTCCGGCGCCCGCTGCTGCACCCGCCTGGCAGCGCTGCACGGCGCGTGCGCCGTACAAGCACCGCTGCGAATGCCCGTGCGCGTGCCAGCAGTGTTGACGTCACTCACGGGAGGGCGCGGCCGCTTTCGAGGATGAATGCTGCCATCTTTGCTGCCAGGTCGCCGCAGAGCCGGTCGACGGGCGCGGCCGCCTCCGCGGCCGCCACGGGCGACCAATTGAGCGGCGGCCGCCGCGCGTCCGGCAGCGCCTGCTGCCCCTGCCCTTGCCCCTGCTGCCCCTGCCCCGGCCCTTGGTGCCGCTGCTGCCGCTGCTGCTGCCCCTGCTGCGGCTCTGCCTCCCATCCGCAGGAGCTGCTGCAGTTTGATGATATGTCACCTCTGTCCATGGCACTTTGTTCGCGGGGGCCCACCAACAACAAACCCAGGCCTGAAGCGTCCGCGCCCGCGCCCAAGCTCGCACTGGGGCCCACGCCCGCGCCCGCACTGGCGCCTGTGCCCGCGCCCGCGCCGGCGCCGCCCCGGACGCGAACCAGCAGATCAACAACCTCCAAAAGGGCTTCATGCTGCATCAAAGTCAGCTGGGCCGCGACCGCGCGCACTCTGAGTCTGCGCCCTTCCGCTGAGGCTGCAGGGGCGGCAGGTGAAGGCGCGCGCTGCGCGGCGCCCTCCAGCCGCTGGTGTTCGTCCATGCGGTGCAAGTTTCAACAACTCACAAGCAGTATCAGCCGTTCTATGCTGCACGAAGGTGCATGGGAAGAAATTTAACGAGCTTGAGCGAGCAGGTTCTGGTTGGTGCGGGAGGAAGAGGCGTCGTACGAGCGACAAGCTAGGGGAAGGCCGACGAGTATGAATTAATTCATCCTAATGTGCCAGCGTGGATGGTATTGTCTTGGTGAGGGGGCATGGAACTACACCAGGCAAAGGTTACTACGCAAAAACGGGAAGGGCGCGCCTAAACTTAGTCAGCCCCAGGGTGGGGCGTACCTGGTGTCCAGACACAGTGTCAGCTTTGCTATCGATACACCATCACTCCGCCAAAGTTAAGACCTGAGTCCTTTTGTCACCCTTCAAACCCGGCTTGTGGATCGCCAAAAACAAGTCACCGCACACCCAGCCATTCAGCCGGGCGTGACCGGCACCACCGAAGCCGCTGCCCACCGCACTTGGGATGCCCCAGCCCCACCCGCCCCTTCAACAGGCCCTGACCCCGCCTGCAGGCTGCCTCACCCGGATGGACGCAAATACGGCTCTGCTCGCATGCAGTGCTAAAGGTGCATGAGAGTCCTGGAGCGCGCCGCAGTGATGGCCTGCACAGCAGCCACCACGAGCCGTGCGGGCGTCACACGCGCGGCTTCCCTTTGACTGGACGCCACGGCTTCACGGCGTGCGGCATGCGTGCACTTGTGCGTTGTGCAGGACGACACCCACGACTTGCTGTTACGATTTGGAGCAAGCGGCCGACGTGTGGAGGCCCTTGCCCGCTGAGCGTGCGACTATCAACCCACGGCTGCCGCATGTGCAGGCGGAAACATGTAAAATGTAGCGATCAAAGCGGCGGACCAAAAGCCAGAAAAGATGGGCGAGGAAGGGGGGATAGCAAATGGGGGCAGGCGCGCAGCGATTGCCGCATGCAGCAGTGGTCCAAGAAAAGGCGCGCCCTCGGGCTCCCCGCGCGCCGCGCTCGAGGGGCGGGGCACACATGCCTGTGGCGGGGACCCGGCCGAGGGGGCAGCCGCCCGGGGCGCCATAATTGTGCGACGTGCCGTTGGCGGCGCATTGAGGCATAAAGCCGTCCAGCAAATCCAGCACGCGCGACTCAAATGGATCAAGTACCCAGGGGAACGACGTGGCAAGCCAACCTCCCGCAGGCGTTACCCTCATCCCCCTCGCCCCCGGCTGTTGCAGACGCCGCACGCAGCTCGCGCCACAGCCGCCGCGCGAGCGACGGCGCCTGCAGGCGGTACGGCGAGCCCGTGCGACCGTGTTGGCAGGCTTGGCTGGGAAGCAGACGCGGATTGGCGCAGATCGCATGTGTGATTGAGCCGCCCTGGAAACCATGCTGGAGGGCCGTGCGTCCACCTGCTGCTGCGCGTGGTGATGCTGACAGCAGGTGGAGTGAGAGACTCCGATGGCACTGGAGTTGCCAAAGACGCGCATTGATTTGTCAACTGCGAGTGTGGTTTTCATTGCACTTGTGGTTTTCGATGCACTTGTGGTTGTTGTTGGAGCGCGTGCCGCTGGTGCGCAGCAATTGTGTGCGGTGGCATAGGGACTGCAATCTGCACCTACAGGGGTGGGGCAAAAAATTGGTGACCATCCGGACATTCAGGCGCTGAGTCGGCTGGGGGTGGGGCCAAGGCCAGGGCCAGGACAAAAGAGGAGAAAAACATGCTGACAGAGCTTGTAGTTGGGGATTGAGGGAACGGGAATGGAAATGAAAACAGCATTGCAGGCAAAGGGGATGGTAGGGGGAGTGCTTGAACTCCAGCTAAGTGTGTATCTCAGCACCAGAGGGGCTGGCCGATATTCAAAGTGACAGGGAGCCGCTGCAGGCGCACAGTGCGTTGTCGTGCGTTGTAAAATGTGGACCGCATTGCATTAATTTCGAGTCTGGCAGGCCGCCACGCAGATCCGGCAGCCGCGTGAGGGTTGGAACGACGGCGCGAATGACGCGATGCTAGTGGTGACAATGGGCGCGAGCCGGCCCAATGACGGCAGACCCTGCCCGAAATTGCCCTGGCTCGACACCCGCCCCACGCAAACCCGAGTACGCGCTCCGCACTGCGAGGCTACCACGCCGCTGCTGCCTGCTCCGCCGGGTCAGCCGTCGGCCGCCAGCGCCCTCAGCCCGTCCTGCACGCACGGCATCGACGGCACCCAGGGCGCGCACGCCAGCATGTACGCCGCAAACTGATCAGGGCGCGCGACGCTGCAGAAGACGACCAGCCACGTGATCAAATAATTCCAGATGCCGTCCCGCAGGTTGGAGTTGAGCGCAGCGACGTAATGCACCCGCCGCGCCGGGTCTGGCGCGCCGCACGCCGCCGCGTCCGCCGCGGCGGCCTCGGCCATCAGGCGCGAGCGGTCTGCGTGGATAACGGCCATTCGCTCGCCCCAGTCATCAAGGGCAGCGAGGGCAACCGCGAGCTGTGGCGGTGGGTATGAGGGGCGGGGCCATGTTTGGATGGTAAATGGTGCCACACACGCAGCCCCCAGATGGGGGGCCACCCATCCAATGCTGAAACGGGTGGCGCATCCAGGCGCGTGCAGCACGTGCAGCCTCGCGCCCGGGCCCCTCACACAGCCGCGGCTGGCGCGCTCGCCAAAGGCCGTGTCTGCGCTGCACGCGCTGACCGGCAGCGTCTCAGGCCGCATTCGCCCAGACGTCCCGGCCCCGGATACCCCACCTGAGCAGAATTCAACGCGAGCCGCCGCGCCGCCGCCTTCCAATGCTCGTCACTCGGCGGCGGGGGCGCCCCCGGCGTGCCGGGGGCAGAGAGGGGAGTTGAGAGCAGGCGGAGCAGCGCGCTGCCGTCCCGCTGCGACACCAGGACGAGGTGTGCGGCGAACTCCGAACGCAGCGCGCCCAGCCGGCCGATGGCCGCCGTCGCCGCCGCAGCTGCCCAGGCCCCTCGCTGCGCGAAGCTGCGAGGCAGGCACGGTCGGGGTGGGGAGGTGGGGGTTCTTGAGGGGGCGTCAAGAGCAGCGGGGTGGGCGGGCCCGTTGTCAGAGGGACGCCTGCCGGGTGATGGGTGCGTCAAAACTCGGGCGGCCATTCGTGGACCGGCCGGGGGTGTAACAAGCAGCAGTGCCCACACCCCTTGTCTGGAGCACAATTTGGGCCCGAGCAAGCGCGCGTGCAACGGCGCCGGCGCTCACGGCAGCAGGCTGGCGCTTTCGTGCAGGAGAGTCCGCAGCTTCGCGGCGAGGCCGTCGTGTGACAGGTCGGCTGATGCGGCCGCTCGAACCGCCGCGGCGGGTGACCAACCCAGTCGCGACCACTGCAGGCTGGGCGCGACGCTCTGCTGCTGCTGCTGCTGCTGCTGCTGCTGCTGCTGCTGCTGCTGCCGTTGTTGTTGCTGCTGCTGCTGCTGCTGCTGCTGCTGCTGCTGCTGCTGCTGCTGTTGCTGCTGCGCCCCATCTCCCTGCTGGTGCGGTTGGTCCCTGCTGGTCACTGCTGTGGAGTTGCCGGTGCTGCTGCGCGCTTCGGCCTGGTGCATGAGATGTTCGCCGAGACCCTTCCACACCAAGAGTGAGGGCTCAGCGCTGCCCGGGGCCCCAAGCAGCCCCATGAGCTCCACCAGGGCAGCATGATGCATTAGCATGAGCCGCGCAGCGGCCTCCTGCGCGGTCTGCGCGCCGGCCTGAAGAGAGCAGCGCTGCACCTCACTCTCCAACTCGTCTATGGACATTTTTAACTGCCGTCCTCGCGATAGCTCCGCCGCGGATGCCCGCACCCGCTTCGTGTGGGCCACAACGCTGGCGACGTCGGGATAACAGGTGTCGGAACTTGGTAAAGATTGCAGCTGGCAATTCAAACTGCAAAACCACACGGTGGTGCAAGGCAGGCCTGGGTGCGTGCCCGGCCACCTGCGCAAGCTTGATAATCATCAGGCACGTACTGTAGCTGGCGCATACTGTAGAAGGCTCTGACGCAGCCTGAACGATATACGAATACTTTTTTCAAGTGCTTGTGGCCGCCGTGATTCACACACATTGGGCTGCTGGACAGGAGTGCCGCGACAGGCACAGCGGGCAGTTGAGCCGCATGTTGCTGGAGTCGAAGTCTGCGCCCCGGATCTCTTGATGGAGCAAAGCAGCAGTGATGGGATCCAATTTCACAGCTGAGCTCAAGTCGTCTGAGGCGGCACTATGCAGTGGCACTGTGTAGGCTTCATCTTGACCTTGCTATGAGGGGCGTCCGCGCGAAGCTGCACCACGCGCTTTCGAGCGAGCGCGACCCCCAGGTGTGTTGAGAGGCCACCATGCCCCAGGGACGAGCTGCGCTGCGTGGTGGGGCGCAGCAGGCTGGGTAAGCAGCTGTGCAGGTGGGTGTTTGGCGGGTGACCTCATCACCCCGCAGTGCAGTGGACAGATGGTGGTACGCCGCTCACATGCTGAAGGTGACAAAGCTGTGCACGTTATCGTGTGTTTTATAATTGAAGTGTTGTGGCAGCAGCAGCAGCTGGCGGCCCCAGGAGGGAGATACCCATCATTCGGGTTCACCCTGCCCCACGAGTGTCGCGCCTCCCAATCACGTTGGTGGCAGCTCGCCCCGCGCTTCACAATCTTGCAAGTAGCAGATGCACGCCGCAGCGCCGTCGGCCGGGTAGTAGCTGCGGCATCGCAAAGGGCACGTGCACGCAAAGCGGAACGCCCCTGGGCACACAGATGACCACAACCATACACTTGTAAGCCGCACCCTCACCCCTGCTGCTCCAGCATAACGCTTTACCCATGGTCTCATTTTGTTTCATAAGCTACTCGCAGTCCCGTGTGGACCGCGAGGGTCAACCGCACCACCAGCGCTCAATGCCCGCTGCGGGTCATTTGTTGTGCTGCTGCTGTCCCCACGTTTGCGTCGACCTCGCCTGGTGCCGGCCAGGCCGTAACCCGCACATCCATTAGTCAGCCCAAATGCATGTGCCACTGTTTGATTTCCTGTGATGCAATGCCTTTCTGAGTGGATCCAGTTGTTATGATGAAAGCAAGGGGTGGGTGCTGCATTGATACCGCAAGTGAGTTGCACATCTCGCGTGAATAAATTGGGATGTCGGTACTGTGCAGATTCGCTCAGGCATACACAACCCCAGGGGCAAGAACCCCAGTGCGCGCACGTGTGCGTCCACGCCTGGTCGCAGCCGCTGGCTGCCCATTTGGTGCAGCGCGCTCCAACACGCCTGCCCTGAATGCGTGCTCAGCAAGGCAGCAGCAGCCGCACCCAGCATGAGGGCGGTGCCGTGCCCCGAGTGGAAAACTGTGATGTGACGGAGGTGCTGCAGACGCACACCTGTCCATCAGACATGTGTTGCGATGATATGTGCCGTCGCTTGCAAGGGCTTGAAACAAAGACGGCCAGATACATTAAGAGGTCAGGCGCGCTCCTGCTTGCCTCCTGCATTGCAAATAAACCATTTGCTCGCCCATGTGGGCGGGCTATCACACCGCTGCTTGTGTGCGTGCAGTGCCTCAGCCAGGTGCGGCCGCGGCGCAGATCGGCAGGCGAATCGTCGTAACACCATCCCCATGATGTCATCGCCATGACGTCATCACTCGTCACCGGCGGCAGTGGCCACGAGCTCCACCTGGAAGCTGGTGGGGGCCGGGCCCTTCACTATGGCCCCCATTGTGTAGACAGCACCCGGCTGCAGGCCAGTGGCCGCGCACCACTCGGGCAGCCCGAAAGCCCAAAGGCCCCCCTCCACGTCTGGCACTGCGCCCTGAGGGGCCACGGGTTTGAGCGGTGTCGGTGGCGGGCGACGGTGGTCCGTCAATAGCACGTAGGTCGACTGACAGTGGCTAGAGGGGACTGCGGCTCTGCGCCAAGTCGCACACACAAGAGCGGGGCTGACCATTGAGCGAGCACGCGCGAAGCAGCTGCTAGCTGTGGCAACATCGCAGTTCGCAGCCATGGGGGTCAAGCAGCGAGCACAGTGCGTCAGCCTGCTGCTGGTGGCAATCGCGGCTGGAAGAGCTGTTGCAAATGTAGGAGTGGCGCGGGAGCACGAGCGTAACCCTGTCGCACCTCGTCTTTGCAGTTCCAGGACTTAACAATGTCTGTGACGCCCTCCAGCAGCACCCTCAGGCCCACCAGGGGCGACCCCGTGGTGTTGGTCACCTGCCGCAAGAGCACACGGGCGCCAGGGGGCGGACACAGCGGGTCGTGCCGGGGCTTGGCAACTTGGTGCGCCGTCGGTTGGCCGGAATCCAGGCAGACGGCAGGCCTTGCGGGGCAGAGCGCAGGGCCTTTGTGCAGGTACTGCTGACGGCATAATCAAAACCAGTCTCATAAATATCTGCATGCACACGCGGTTGCATCCACGCACATGCACACGTGCACGCACGTGTACGCCCGCGCACACACACGCACACACGCACACACGAACGCACACACGCACACACGCACGCACACACACACACACACGTACACACACACAAACTCCCACACACACACCCTTTCACATATGCACATATACACGGACACATGCATGCACACATGTTCACGCACAAACATGCAGGCAATGCGCTCACCTTGACCTCGTACTGTGCGCAGGGCACCGTGCCCCCCTCCTGCCAGTCGTTGACCAGGTAGGCCGCCAGCATGTCAGACTCAAACACCAGCCTGGCCGCGCGTTCGTCGGGTTGGCGGATTCCAAGCGTGCGAGGATATGGCGTAGCGGTCAGGAGTGGTGGAACAGGGGCAAAGTAGGGTGATGACTGTACCCGGCCCTCAAGACCCGAGTCCGCGGCAGCTACCTTGCAGCTGACTTTTCGGCAGCTTTCTCTCCAAGAGACGCCAACCCCCCTCCCGCCCTCGGCGCACCTGCCCGCGGGCGGTGCTGGCGCCGCGGCCGTCTCCGCAGGTGCCGCGGCGGCCTGGGCGGCCGCCGCCGCCGGCGCTGGCGCGGCCGCCGCAGGGTCGACGCCGGCGTCCACCACCGTGTCCTCCGGGGCCGGCGCGGCGGCCAGGACCTCTGTCCCCGAGGGCTCCCACTTTGTGGGGTTGGGGTGGGCCCTGGCTATGATCTCCAGCTTGTGCTTATGGGGCGTCCGCCAGTCGTCCTGCAGGACGCCGCCTGCGGAGGTCGGAAGTCAAACAGGCAGATCCAGATCGGCCAGCAGGGAAGCGCGGCGCCCTTCCAGGTCGGCGTTTGTGTTGGCTCGGGCGGTCATCGCACTGGCGCAGCTGGAAGTCAGGATACTTTTGGTGCCTCACGCCCGAGGCTGCGGGCTGGAGCCCAGCGCTGCATACTGGGGTTGGTGCGACGCCTCACCCGTGTCGCCGCTGTTTGGGTTGAGGCACCAGTAGAACGAGTCGGTGACGTCATTCTCCGTCATCCAGCTGGCGAGGGCGTCCTGCCACACGCGGTCTGGACCCTCGCCGCCCCAGCCGCCCCACTCGCCGAAGCAGATCGCGGGGCCCAGCCTGACGTGCGGGAGGGGGCGTCCCGATGAATGTAGATTGCGTCTCGCGTATTCCCAATAATACTGGGCCACAAAACAGATGACTTTGTCGCTTGGATGGGCATGCCAGCGGCGCCTGCGAACCTCGCACTCACCCCTCTGCCTTGCAGAAGCCGAAATGGCGCATCCAGATGTCCGGCATATTCGCGGGGAACTGCCGCGGAGTTGGGGTGCATTGCATTATGTGGTCCAGACGTCATCGGGGGGTTGGGACGTCCCGAGGGGCAAAATGCACCCACACTACCCGACCCCTGGGATAAAGTCTGTTGCTTGACACGTTGTACCATGAAATCCTCGCACAAAGCGGCACCTTCCCATCATTCTCTGGTGTTGCACCCACCTCCTCGCACCCCGCACGCCCGCATTCTCTTCGCACCTATTCCTTCTTGCCCCTGACCTAATCCCACCCCACCGCCACCCCACTCCACCCAACCACCACCACCACCTCCACCCCACCCCACCCCCACTCCCACTCCGACCATCACCCAACCGCCACCGTTGCTGCCCCCACCACCATCATCAACACCCCCCCAACCTGGGGGTCTGCAAAGTAGGGCTGCTTGTGAACATCAGGGCCGTAAACGTGCGGCGAATACACCAGCTTGTCTGCCACCGGGAGCACCACCGGAGCCTTGGGGTGCACGGAGGGGAGGGGGAAGGTGCACATTGGTTGGGTCGTTATGCTGTCTTGCCAGGAAGTGTGCGTGATCCTGTTGGCGCATGCATGTGTGTGCATGTGCTTGCATACACATGTGTGAGCGTGCGTGTGCGCATGCATGCGCCAGGGCGTGCAGGCACAGGCGTCTCCTGTCTCTGAGCAAGGAGGCGCAGGCGGGCACGCGTGTTAAAGCCGGGATGGCCGCGGTGATGCGGCAGAGGCGCGTGCGCCCCACAACGTGCCGCTATACGCCATCTCAGCAGCTCACCTTCTTGGCAGCCGCAATGTGCCCGCCCCACCAGCAGTTCTCCCCCGGCTGCACCACCGCGTTCGTCTCCACGCCCTCGACAAAAATGAGCAGCTTTGGGTTGGCCTCCAGGACCACCTTTGTGGGGTTGACCGAGGTTGACTGATTGAGTTTTCAGGATGAGATGTGAGGCTACTGGGCAAGACCAGGCACGCTGCCGGCTGCACATGCGTGCTGAGTTTCCCATGCACCCACACCGGCCGGTCTGCCTTCTTGAAGCAGCCGAGGCACCCCCCTGCTGCAGCGATGGCTCCGCAGCACAACGCGCAGCGAGGGCGGCGATGAGCCGGGAAGGGGGTGGAAGACAGCCGCTGCAGCGCCCGCGTGTGCAAAGGGGGGGGGGAGAGGGGAATGCGTGGGCCCGCACCTTGCCGATGCGCTCCGCCGCAAGCTGCCAGTCGGTGGCGATGCTGCCGTCCCCCCAGGACGCGCGGCCGTGCGGCTCGTTGTTTAGGTCTTTTGGGGGGGGCCGAATGCGGGCGCAGCAGGGTCGCGGGGCGGGCTCGACGGTGGCGATGTGACGGTGTGTGCTTCACGGCAGCCGCTCGTGATGGCAGCTGGGCCAGGAGGCGGGGCCGGCGGTTCAAGGAGCAGGGCCGCTCAGGGCTGGCTGCCGCTGTGCCGGGGTCGCACGCGCCTGCTAGCCGCCTCGGGCCTGCGGACATTTGCTGTTTGGTTGAAACGCCTCCTGCACGAGATTGGGCCCCCAGAAGGGCCCCGCGCCACCCGCGCCCAACTCCGCGCCCCACCCGCTGCGAAGACGTTCCAGCAGCCCCTGTAGCGCAGCACGATGGTGCGCCACGCGCGCAGCACTGACGCCTCGGGGTAGTCGGCGTCATACCAGCTGTGGGGGGAGGGGGGATTGTTGGGATGCAGTTTGTCAAATGGCTTTCTTGGTGGGTGGGGCATACGCTTCTTTGTTGCATCATCGGGGCACAGCCAACCGCCATGTCGACATGCCCGTCTCCAAGTTTGAGCAGGGCTGGGTCGGATCGCGCCGGATCAACAACCCCAGCTCACAGATCCCAGATCCCAGATCCCAGATCATGAGGCGCAGCTCACAGCTCTGGGATGTCCTTGGCGCCCGCCAGGCGGTGGAGGTCCAGCAACACCAGCAGGCCCCTCTTGGCGCACTCATTGACAAAGCTGCGTTGCTCCGGGTGTGTGGATGCGTCGCAAATTGGGTTGTTTTTTTTCAAGGGGAGAGGGGAATGTTTGCACATTGACCCTGGCAACCGAATGACAGGTCCTCGGCACACATGCCCATGGCTGCGCCGTTCAGCCGCCGCCGCGACCCGGGCTGCAGCTCCCACTGAAGCTCGGCCCTGTCAGCCTGGGCGGCGCCGCAACCGGACAGGCGCAGGGGCCGATGCGGCGTCCCATTTGCCGCCGGTGCCCGCCATACTGCCTGAACGCCATCAACCAGGGCACCTCTGCTGCATCGCCCGCCCCTCACACCCTCTAATCAACACACCCCAAAACGAAGCAGCCGGCGCGGCCCTGCTCACACGTCCATGACCTGTCCTGTTGTCAGGCCCCGCAGCTCAGGGTTGGCCGCGTAGTCAATGTTGCCGGGCGCCTTGCCGTCCATGTCGAGCGCCAGCTCAGCGCTAAAGGGCAGTAGGATCGCGTTGAAGTGCTGCGAGGGGGGGGGGGGCGGGGG